CTTCAATGATGAAGCAGGGGCAACAAGGACAAGGTGGGGGTCACTAATGGATCACTAACCAACCTATACTAAGCAGTTTAGGATAAGCAGGTAAGGTGCAATAACAGGTACAAAAGCAGGCTATGCATCAGAATAGGTGCAAACAATAACAGTAGCAAAATCTAATGCAAGCATGAGAGAATGGAATGGGCGATATCGGGATGATCAAAGGGGGGGCTTGCCTGGTTGCTCTGGCAAGGAGGGGGTCGTTGTCGACGACGTAGTCGATCACCGGGGCATCAGCGGCCTCGGGGTCTACCGGAGAGAAGAGGGGGAAGAAACAGTAAATATAAAGCAAACAAAGCATCACAAAGCATAACGTGGCAATATGTTGTGCCGGGAGTGACCTAACGTATGGCTACACGATATAGGTGAAGGGAGAATTCAACCGGGAATGTATTCCCGGTTCTGGGCCTGTGTCAGACAGATGACCGGAGGGGGAAAGTTCCATGTTCAGCATGCTAGGGGCATGTGACAGATGAACGGACCGCATATTCGGATTCGTTGGATTTTTCTGAGCAACTTTCATATAGAAAACATTTTCATCGGAGTTACGGTTTATTTTCTATGAATTTTTAAAGTTTAAACAATTTTCTGGATTTATTTATATTAACAGAAATGGAATATGACGTCAGCATGATGTAGAGGTGATGTCAGCAAACAATAGGACGGTTGACTGGGGTCAAACCTGACCTGTGGGTCCAGTGGGACCCACTGGCCAGTGACTGGACTAATTAAACAGTGTTAATTGGACTAATCTAATACTAATTATCAAGCGGGGCCCACTGTCAGTGCCTAATTGGTGAATAGATTAATTAGCCAATTTAATTAACACATTTTCTATTTATCTAAAACATTTTATTGACTCGGCCCCACATGTCAGTGGGTTGACTCAGTCAACGAGTCAACTGGGCCCACCCGTCAGTGGCTCAGCGGGCCCCATACGTCAGCGCCAGGTCAGCCTCACCGGCGTTGGCGCCGGAAGTACTCCGGCGAGCCTCCCACGGCGGCGCACATCGGGAGAGGGGGTCGGGTTTCGCGCACAGGGGGTTTTCGGGGTCGTAGCTAGGTGCGTTCGACGCGGTTCGACGTCACACGCAAGATGGAGGCGACGGCCGGGGCCAGGAACGACCGGAACGGCGCCGGCGACGAGTAGAAACGGCGCCGGAGTACGGGCGCGAGCGGGTTCAGCGTTAGAGCGCGCGAGCGGCCAAACTAACCAACTAGGCGGGGTCTACGGCGCTCCAGAAGCTCGTCGGAGCTACTAGCTCGAGCGGAGGAGCTCGGTGGCGAGCCCTACGACGGCAATGGCGGACGGCGGAGCTCGGCTTGTGGGCGAGCTGGCTACGGCGAAAGGCACGGCGCGAGGAGAGGAAAGGAGGAAGGGAGGAGCTCACCGGGCGGCACGCACGATGGCCCTCGGAGGTTTAGTAGCAGCTGTGCAGTGGATCGACGCCGGCGAGCTCCTGTGATCCGAAGTGGAAGACGAGGCCGGGGCAGCGTTCCGGGGTGCCCGGCGTCCTGCGGCTCATCGGGGAGGCGTAGTCGAGGGAGGCAGAGAGGTTGGACACGAGGAGCTCGCGAGGAAAACACGGTGGCCGCGTGAACGACGGAGAACGGCGGCGATGGCATTCGGGTGAGGCGGGCGAGCGAGACAGGGAGGGGGAGGAGCGCGTGGATCTGGGAGGCAGAAGAGGGGAGTGGAGGTAAGTGGGGAGGAGGCCGAGGCGTCAAGGGGGGGAGGCTCGACCTTATCC